AAAACCAAACAGGTGGTATGTTTACAAGAGTTTCCCAAATTCTAGATTTGACTGTTTCTGTCCTTTCTGTGTTATTTCACATATCCCCTGCCTCCTCTGTATTTACTATAAACTGATAAAGCAAGAGGATTGTTTACTTTGGGGTCCTTTTTTTTTTTTCTTAGGTGGGCAAGAATGCTTCATGAATGGTGGTGGTGTTCATTTCTTATTTAGCATGTAATACACATAATGTCTGATTGTCTCTCTTTTTTTGTGATAAATGTGATCAGTGAGTTCAATTGCTGTCATTCTGATTCATTAACTATAAAGTTCCTCAAACAGCTTTTTATCTTCTGATTTTGATAACTATTGGTTATTTTTGCCTTAGACTATTATTTCATTAGGACTGCCAAGTGATATTAAGTGAAATTCTTTTTTAAAAAATTATTTTATATGTGTATATATATATATATATATATATATATTTTTTTTTTTTTTTTTTTTTTTTTTTTTTAGTTTGGGTCTCACTCTTTCACTCAGGCTGGAGTGCAGTGGCATAGTCACAGTTCACCACAGCCTCAACTTCCTGGGCTCAGGTGATCCTTCTGTTTCAGTCTCTGGAGTAGCTGGGACTACAGGCACACACCACCATTTCATTTCAAAATTTTTTTGTAGAGATGAGGTCTTGCTTATGTTACCTAGGCTGGAAGTGGAATTCTTTTTACAAGAACTTTTTTTGAATTGGTTTTATAGTAATTTATAGGGACCATTTAGGGTTTTTGTTTGTTTTATTTTTAGTACAATTATGAACTCATGGATTTGAAAATATTTGTTTCAGTTCTTTGCAGATACTATCCTTTTTGATGATCAGGTTGTCCCATCTTTGGTTAGTGGGAATCCTTTTGATATCACTGTAATAGTTTTAATAGCTTACTTGCTTCCTGGTGTAACAAGGTTTTCCAGGGTCTTTTAGTATGCTTCTGTCCTGGGCCTGGGATCATCCATTTTTCCAAGGAGCCTGTGTTCTTTTTTGTAGGAAATGATATTACTATGGGCACATGGACACTCATTGCTCCTGAATTGGTTGGTGTTATTATACCTTTTTATTGAATACAGTTAGGATTTTTTTTTAATTGAAACATTTTAATGGTATTTTGGATTTAAGTTTAGGACTACAGGATTTAACTTCCTTGATTTTGTATTTGTGTTTTTTTTTTTTTTTTGCATATGCTGAAAATCTTGGTTCCAAATAATATTAACATAACTTATTTGCTTCATTTTATTATATAGTATAATTTCAGAATAACAATACCAATATTGCTACAGTTATTATCACTGAAAATTGTTTATAATATTTTCACTTCCTTTTGTTTTTAGATTACATTCTATGAGGGAAATATATTTATATTATTATGTTTTAAAATAATTTTAAATAATTCATTTCTGTATGGCTAAGCTACCATCTCAATACAGTTAGGTTTATTTGCTTTATTTTTAGGAATTTTTTTAAGCTTTAATTTTGTTATTTGCATTGTTCTAAGCTCAAGTTAAAGTCTATAAAACAAGTTACTTCAGAAAAGTCCACCTTTTATACCTGTTCAATTTATTTGTTATCGCTCTCCTATCCATGTTATTAGTTTTTGATATATCCTTTTTTTTTTTTTTTTTTTTTTTTGAGACAGGGTCTCACTCTGTTGCCCAGGCTAGAGTGCAGTGGTGTGATCATAGCTCCCTTATGGGCGCAAGTGATCCTTCCGCCTCTACCTCCTGATGTGCTGGGATTATAGGCATGAACCTATAATGGTATTTTGGATTTAAATTTAGGACTACAGGATTTAACTTCTTTGATTTTGTATTTGTATTTCTTTTTGCATATGCTGAAAATCTTGGTTCCAAATAGCATTAACATAACTTACTGCTTCATCTTGTTATATATCATAGTTTTTAAAAAATAAGTATATATACACATAAATACATACATGTTACATACATATAAATTTGTATTTTTTCTCTTTTCTTAAAAGGAAACTTACAGTGTATAGTTACTTATCTTGTTTTTGGACTTACAGTATATTCTCAAGATTACTTCATAGCAGTGTGTAGATACTTATTTCTTTTTATGACTGTGTAGTGCTTCATTATGAGGATGTACCCTAGTTCATTAAATCAGTCTTTTTTGCAAATGATGCTGCTTGTTCTATGCATGTGTGCTTTCTTATTTATTTTGCTAGTTTATCTTTGGGATAAAGCCCTGAGAATGTCATGCTGGGTTATGAATGAATGATTTAACAAATATATAATTTTGCTAGTTATTGTGAATATTTCTTCCATTGGATTTGTACCGTTTTGTATTTCCAGACAATGCAAATACTTTAACAGTTTATGCTTGTGAACCTTTATGGTATAGAGAGGAAAATTAGAAGTATATGGATAGAAGAAAGGAAGCATCATAAGCATTTACTAATAAAATGTTAAAGTTTCATGAAAACCTAATTAAAAGATTTTCTAAGTTAAAGTGAATTGATTAGTGAACTATATTCAAGTGAAAATGAATTTTGTACTTTGGATATAACTGTTTTCTTGATGTGTGTTTGTGGATTATGAATAAAGAATGACAATTTTTCTTTTGGATAAAAAATGATGAACTATAATGGAGTTTGATACATTTAAAAATCCTTATTAATCTGATCTTTCATTTGGCATAGTGAATAATTTGTGTGAAAAAACAGTGATTAGTTTCAACTTATAGACTTAAGATTACGTTTACTGTTAATAAACAGTTTAATGGATTTAAAATTTGTCATTTGTAGATTTAATTGTTAGAGTTTTGGTTGTGTATATATCCTTGAAAGATCTATAACATGTACTAGTTTGAATTTATAGTTAACGTATATTTTATTAAGATAATATGTAATATTGAGTCAGTGTCCCTCTGTTCCAACTTTACTGCAACCTTTTTGTTCTCTACTTGTCTTTTTTTTAGCACTTTCTATTAAGGATATGAGAGGGTTAACTTTTCAGTTAGTTTAACAAAGGAATTCATATTTTTGTATTTTATGGGAGAAATTTTATGTCATATTGGTGTTTGTGTTTGGGAATTTTGATGTTCTGAGGAGATATTCATAGTTATCAAAGTACTATTGTAGGAAGGAAAAAATTGGGATGAGAGATTGGGTTCACATCCTAGAAGACCTTACTCTTCAGGCTAATAAGTTTGAACTTCATTTTGTAGACAATGGGAAATTGATAAAGGATTTGTAAGAATTTTTTTTTTTGCTTTGGGTTCCTCAAGTGAAAAACTGGAGTGGTACACTTTTTAGTTTTCATGTAAACTTTGTGAGATGATTGGGTAGTTATGTGAAATATTTTTTGCTTACACAGAAACTATAGCATATATATTATTGAGGTTATACCCTGTGCCAGATACATACTACTCTACAAAGTACTTTTCGTGGATTGTCTTCTTGTGACAGCAGCCAAGACATTCTTATCCTATCAGAGGAGAAATTTAAGCTTGCAGAGATGTAACACATTATTCAGGATTGGGTCCTGAACCTGTAAAAGAACATTATTGGGACAATCAGTGAAATTTGAATGGGGTCTATTAATTAGATAGTAATTTTGAACAATGTTAGTTTCCAAATTTTGATGATGATTTTGTGATCAGATAGGAAAATGTTCTTGTACTTATTATAGAACACACACACACACACACACACACACACACACACACACACACACACACACACTATGTATTACGTACACTGAGATATTAAGTGTTAGTGGGTATCATGTCTGTAACTTATTCTTGAATGGCTGAAAAATGTTAACAATTTCATAATCTGAGTGAAAGTTATACAGGAGCTTTGTAATTCTAATGTAAGTTCAAAATTACCAGTCTGAGCAACATAGTGAGACCTCATCTCACAAAAAATAAAAAATTATCCAGGTATGTCTGGTGTCTCAGCTGCTTGGGAGGCTAAGGCAGAAGGATCACCTGAATCCAGGAGGTTGAGTCTGCCATGAACCGTGGTCCTGCCACTACACTCCAGCCTGGACAACAGAGTGAGACACCAACTCAAAAAATAAAAATAATACTTTTAAAACTGTTTCAAAACAAAAAACTAACTCATCCAAAGTCACATAGCCAGTATGTGGCAGAATCAGTTAGTTGAACTTAGATCTATTTCATTCTGACTGTGTATGAGAGAGAGAGAGAGAGAGAGAGAGAGAGAGAGAGAGAGAGAGAGACTGACTGTGTGTGTGTGTGTGTGTGTGTGTGTGTGTGTGTGTGTGTGTGTGTGTTTGTTTCTGTCTGTCTGTCTTTACTGCCTTTCCACATATTCTAACCAAGGTCACATATACTAGTGAAATTAAATATAAATTCAAGAGATCTGAGGTATAGTATGGTGACTATAGTTAATGACAGTATATTGTGTTCTTGAAAAAAGCAAAGAGTGGATGTTTAGTGCTCTCAACACAAAAATAACTGTTTGAGGTAATGGCATTTGTTAATTTGCTAGAGTTAGCCATTTTACAATGTGTATGTGCCTTGAAACAACATTGATAAATACATACAATGTTATCTGTCAAATTAAAAAAATTATTTTAAGAGTTCACAGAATAATAATATTTGTTATTGAATCTAAGATTGTACTACTGTTAGATTATATTTGTAACATTATTTTCACATTTAAATAATGTACTCAATGAAATGATTTTAATATGAACATTAATAATTTTAAAATAAAAATTAAGCAATTTTTCATTTCTCATACTATTGTACTAACTTTAAGAGTATTAGCTATCATTTTCAAATTTCTTCTACATCAGATTGTATGCCTTTGGTAGTAGTTAAAATCTGAGGTCATTTAATATTAAGTGATTGTCGTCTAAAAAAATCTTACTATAAGCTTATACATTATAATAGACTGTTAAACACACTTAATAATTTATATATCTTAATTTAGTTTTAAATGTCACTATTGAAGAATAATTATCTGCTTTTTATTTTAACATAGGTTATCTTATGATGAGGCTTTTGCTATGGCTAATGACCCCTTGGAAGGCTTCCATGAAGTAAACCTTGCTTCACCTACTTCTCCGGACCTTCTTCGTGTGTATGAGCCAGGGACTCAAGAGCAGAGTACCTCACCCAGTGTCATCTACCGGCCACATCCTTCAGCTTTATGCTCTGCACCTATCCAGGCTAATGCATTAGATGTTTCTGAACTTCCTACACAGCCTGTTTATTCATCCCCCAGACGTTTAAATTGTGTGGAAATATCTAGCATCAGGTAGGAGATCATGGGCAGTTTGCTTGGTTACCTTGTTTTAAGTTTTACTATTTTAGAAAATTTGAATAATATAAGTGTGCCTGTGTTGAGCAATATGTGTTAATGTTTTAAAGCAGGGGTTGGCAAACTTGATGTGAAGGACCAGATAGTAAATATTTCAGGCTTTGCAAAGTATACATTCTTTGTTACAACTTTTAGAGTGTGGAAGCAGCCTTAGGCAGTATGTAAATGAAGGAGTTTGGCTGTGTTCCAGTGAAACTTTATATATGAGCACAGAATTTTGAATTTCATACAATTTTCATGTGCTACAAAGTATTCTTTTGAGTTCTTTTCAGCCATTTGAAAATGTAAAATCTATTATTGGCTCATAGGCCTTATAAAAACAGGTGGCAGCCTTGGTTTAGCCTGCAGGCTATAGTTTGTTGACCCTGCACTGTGCAATAGAACTTTCTGTGATGATGAAAATGTTCAATTTCTGTGCTAATATGAATGACAGCCATTAACCACATATGGCTATCGAGCACTTGAAATGTGGCTGATATGACTGAGAGCATGCTATTAATTAAACATAAAGGCTACCAAATTACCTAGTGCAGTTCTAGAGCTGTGTGTTTATTTGAGCATATGCTGATATTTTCTGAAAAATATTTTCTCTCCTTCACAGCTTTCATGTTACAGACTCAGCACCTTGTTCTACCTCTGGAATCACCTCTGGGTTAACTAAATTAACTACACGAAAGGACAGCTGTAATACAGAGCGGGAGTTTTTACAGGGTGCTACTATAACAGAGGCTTGTGATAGCGGTGATGATATTTTTGGGTTGAGTACCGATAGTCTGTCTCGTTTACGAAGCCCATCTGTTTTGGAAGTCAGAGAAAAGGGCTATGAACGATTAAAAGAAGAACTCGCAAAAGCTCAGAGGGTAAGAAGAATAAGATATTTTATTCTTTTGTATATTTTGTTAGAGAGGAGTATTTTTGCTGGGTGGGACAACTCAAAAATGAAATCATTACATTTCTACATTTATCCTTCACATGTGCCCGGCCTCAGCTTCAGTAAGGCAGCATTTAGGAATCTGTGAAATTGGCTGGGTAGTAAAGAAATTTATCTAAGAGTGCTAACTAGAAAAATGAGATTCTGAAACTCTCTTGTAACTCTTCTGTGCCCCTTACATGACCTACTTCCCATCTTGCATTATCTGTAATTCAAATTTAGTGAGCTCTCTTCCACTTGTGGGTTTTTCCCTTCTTATGTGTGATTGACTTTATGATCCTTTATTTGAAGTAATTCAATCCAGGTCATTTTGTTTTGAAGGATTGTTTTAGTAACACTGCCTTTGTTATTCAGCTGAGTTTGAATGTTTTCTGTATTTTACCTTGGAGAATTTTCTTTTCTTGGTAAATTGTTCTGCTTCCCATTTGGTCATCTTTAAAATTTCTGCTATTTATGTTCACACTTATGGCCATGTCTTATTCTTTTTCTGAGATTGTAATTAAATATCAGAGGGAAATCTGTAGGATAAAATGCATATATTAGAAAACAGGAAAAGTTTCAAATGAACAATCTAAGCTCCCACTTTAAAAAATGAACAAAAGAACAAAATAAAACCAGAGCAAGTAGAAGGAAGGAAATAGTAAAGAGCAGAAATCAGTGAAATTGATAACAGAGGAAATGAATGAAATGAAATGCTGGTTCTTTAAAAATGTTAATAAGATTTACAAACCTCTGGCAAGACTAATAGAAAAAAGGCAGTAGCAGGAGTGAAACAGGATAGCACTATAGACCTACAGATATTAAAAGCACAATAAGGGAATAATATGGACAATTCTGCATATATAAAACTTGACCACCTAGTTGTCAAGCCTAGGTGAAATACCAATTCACATTAGACATTTGAGAAGACAGGATAAACATTCTGGAGGTGTAATTTCCAGCATACTATGACACTCCATAAATACATATTCCCACTCTTTCCCTGCCATACTTGTCTCTCAGGAACATAATATATTCATTAAAAAAAAAATCCCCAGTGCCTTTCCAAAGGGAAAGGATGTGGTGAGATTTGACACTTTCATCTGGCTTGTACTCTGTTGTCCTAATATACAGTATTTTAGTGAAATCACAGATTATACAGATGTAAGCTGCTGGGCATATATATCTATCTTTGAGAACACATTGTGGTTCCTTATTGGTCAGAACAGATTGCTAATCTCTTAGCTCAGTTGTAAGTTTCTTTTAAAATCTTTAATTTGCAGTATTTAGAGGTACTGTTGAGATAATTGGAATGATAATGATATATGAATACACACATATGGTGAGTTTTATTATAAGAGCATAAAATAGTATTAATATTGACTTAGATCTCAAAGTTTGAGAAGGACTCTTGAATATGAAAATATATCCTGAATTATGACAGCTTGTGAATCAAAACTATGTCAACATTTAGTCTGATGATTGTCTTAAGAGAGTCCAAATTTTCCATCCTTTTCCATCCTTTTCCATTAACCTATTTGTGTCTATTTCAAGTGAGTTTCTTGTAGGCAGTGTATAGTTAGGTCTTTTTTTTTTTTTAATCGTTTGTGATAATCTCTGCCTTTTAATTGGTATGTTAGACCACTTAATAGTTATTGTTATATTGGTATAGTTTGGTTTAAGTCTGTGATCTTACTATAGTTCTTAATGGTTTTATCTTAATTCCTTTGATTTATTAGCTATATATCTTTGTTGTGTTAATCTAGTGATTGCTTTAAGTTTTGTAATATACTTCTTTAACTCATCACTGTCTACCTTCCAGTAATATTATGCTACTTTACATGTGATAAAAGAACCTAGTATACTTCTATTTTTTCCCCTCCCAGCTTTTGTATAGTGGTTGTCTTATGTTTTACTTCTTCATATGTTTTAAAGTCCACAAACCATTGTTATTATTTTTGCATTAAACAGTTGATTACCTTTTAAAAGGATTTAAATAATAAGAAAAAAATCTATATGTTTTTACACAGATACTCAGGTAGCTAACATTTCTGAAGCTATTCATTCCTTCATTGGATCCAGATTTACAACCATTATCATTTTCCTTCTGTTTGAAGTACATTCTTTAATATTGGGTTGTGCAAGTTTGCTGGTGATAAATTCTTTTAGCTTTGTATGTCTATTTTCACTTTTGCTTTTTGAAAGATACTTCCACTGGGTAAAGAATTTTAAGTTGATAGGTTTTTTTCCATTAGTGTACTATACAGATGTTGCTCCAGTGTCCTCAGTATGCATTGTTTCTTACAAGAAATCTGCTGTTATCCTTGTCTTTGTTCCTCTGTATGTGAGGTCTTTTCTCTTTGGCTGTTTGTCAGAGTCCTTTGTAACTGACTGTAGGCAGTTTGATTATAATTTGCTTTGGTGTAGTTTTTTATGCTTGTGATTTGTTGTATTTCTATAATCTATATGTGGTTTGTTTTCATAAAATTTGAGAAATTTTTGCCATTATTTCTTCAAAAAGTTTTACATTCCTCGATTTCTTCTTCTGGATCATAATACATGTAAATTAGACTACTTAAAATTGTCCCACAGTTCACTGGTGTTGAATTCATTTATTTTAAAATCTTTTTCCTCTCTGTGTTTCATTGTGGATAGTGACTTCTGTTGCTGTGACTTCAGTGTGACTCTCTTCTTCTGCAATATCAAATCTGTTAATCCTGTACAGTGTATTTTTTAGTCTAGACATTGTAGTTTTGATCTCTGAAAGTTTGATTTGAAACTTTTTAAGTATTTTGCTTGCTGTGTTTAACATGTTGGAATACAGTTTAATAATTGTTTTGCTTCTAATAAAGCTTTCATCTCTTCAGATAATAAGCTGAGGCAAATGCAGGCCTCAATTTATTTGTTTTCCATTTAACAAAAGACAGTTGGGGGGTTGCTATCTTTTACTGCCTAGCATCCAGTTTATTTGAATCGTTCTTTCATAATTTTGTTTTTCAGCTTTTTTGTTATGTCAGATGGGTGGGAAATCTGATGATACCTGTTAGTCTATCTTGATTTCAAGTGAAAGTTTTTTAAAAAAATTTTTTGTTGTTTGTCTACCCTACCTCATTTAAGTGACTTGCATACAAAAACCAATATTTATACACACATGCTTCAATAATTTTGAACTTCATGAGGATAAGGATTATATATGTTTTTGCCATGATCGTATCTTGAGCATATGATGGATTCACAATACATTTTGTTGATTAAATGATTGTGTGTGTGTATGTGTGTGTGTGTATACACATACAGTTATACTGGTCTATGAATATACACACATGCATATTATGTTGGGGTGATGCTAGCTGTTCATATATGTGTGTGTATACATATATATACATACAATTATAGTGGTCTATGAAAATATATACACACACATACATACAGTTATACTGGTTTATGAATATATACACACATGCATAGTATGTTGGGGTTTTGCTCAAGATATGATCATGAGCAAAAACATATGTAATCCTTATCCTTATGAAGCTCAAAATTATTGAAGCATGTGTGTATAAATATAGGTTTTTGTGTGCAGGTCACTTAAATGAGATAGGGTAGACAAACAACACAAATTAAAAAAAAAACTTTAACTTCAAATCAAGATAGATTAACAGGTATCATCAGATTTCCCACCCATCTGACACAACAAAAAAGTTGACAAACAAAATTATGGAAGAACAATTCAAATAAACTGGACGTTAGGCAGTAAAAGACGGCAACCCCCCAACTGTCTTTTGCTAGCTGTTTATAAGAGACACCAAAATTTTAGTGGCTTAACCTAATAGAAGTTCATTTAACACTGAAGCAGATGTTAATAGGTGGTAGGCAGTTCTTTGTAAAAAAAGCTAAAGGATCTGTTTCTCTTCTTTTTTGGGCCTTTGTAATTTCTTAGAGTTTTATTCTTATCTGCCCCTAACTAATGAGACAAAAGAAAAAGAAAGCTTAGAGAAGGCACAGCTGCTTCTAAAAAGCCTTGGTTTAGAATTGATACACATCACAATTGAATATTGCTCATATTCCGTTGATGAGAACCCATGTCATGCTGATACCTAGATGTGTGGTAGGCTGAGAAATGTTCTTCCTGGCTTGACAGACAAATACATACTGTGTGTGTTGGGGGACCATCCATGTGGCCACTGATTTTTAGGTGCAGGACTACCAGAGATTATGATGTAGTCCTTTAACTGTTTGATTTTCTACAGGTTATTGCTGAAAAGCAGCTTTTGGTGGAATAATCAGGTGGAAGTTGGGCTTCAGTACATTCTTACTAAAATGCAGATCCTTGCACTCCACCCCAGATCTAATGAAGCAAATAGTTGTGCTGAGCTTAGGGAATATGCACTTTCAACAGACTTCCCTATTGATTCTTACATTCACTAAAGGGTGAAATCTACTGGGGTAAGAGTATTTTCCACTTTTGTTTTTCCTTTAAAAAGAATGACATGACTTGGAAAATAAAATAAAATAAAATAAAAAGTAGGAGAGCTTGCAGCCAGAGAAAGTCACTTAAAAACCATACCTGTACCAGCTTCATTTTCAGCATTGGTTCTACTATCTGTAGCCAAGGATGTTTATAAACATTTACCATGTTCTTTTATTAACAAATATTTCTTAAATAACAACAGTACTCACAGCAAAGTACTAGGCCATGTAGAGGGGCAAAAATAAATTAGATACAAACCTGCCCTTAAGGCGTTTACTAGTTGGGAAGAAAGGATATGTATGTGTTTTACAGTAATGTTTCATTGATTCCGAGTTGTCCATTTTTTCCATTAACATCCCCGAAATCAGTATGAGTCTTAAAATTGCAATCAGGTAGGCAATAATCATGACAGTTGTCATTGCCCCCTTGTGTGTGAACTTGTTTGTAGCAGCCCATGTTATTAATTTAATTGAATTTTG